TATGAGACTTCCTGTCCAGGATCTTGGAACAAGGTAGGCCTTTGATGAACTGAGCTGAGTTCCAAAGCATTCTTTATTCACTTTATCTATTACTTAATGTTCACAACAGCCTCAGAGATGAATAGTTTATCTATCTATCATTTATGAAGTTATGAAACTGAACCTCAGGGAATTTGCCTAAAGTCATAGAGTTGATAAGGAGCAGAACAAGCACTTAAATCCAGGCCCACCAATCTGGAACTTCCAGCCAAATAACTTTGTGTTTTTTTTCTGGGTTGGTCTTTTGTAATAGTTATGAAAAATAGCTACAAAAGAACATACATGGCTTAAAAGTACAATAATGATGATGATGATGATGATGATGATGATGCTGATGATAATGCTGCTGCTACTGCTGCTGCTACTGCTGACAAATGAGTTCCCAGTAACTGATCACTTTAGGAAACATAACATTGCCAATTCCACTAGCTCAGGTTTATATTGCCATCTCTTGCTGTTCTTTAGGTTTCCTTCATGTAGATGCACTTCTAAGCAATGTACTGTCTAATTTTGCATGCATTTTAATCATTCTGTATAGAACCCATGAGTTTGCTTTACTAAGCCCTATATATTACATTTGTGGCTTCATGTACATGGATATGGATACTGGGTATCTGAGGTTCAGGCAATTTTATTGCTGTATAGTATTACATTGTATAAATGTGTCAAAACTTGGATGTTAGATCTAAAATACACCGAGACATGATAAATCATACAGGAACTCTAGGCATTTACACGCAGTGAGACCATAAAAGGATATTCTTAAGGGAGGAACACAAAGAGGTAATGCCTGTGTCCCTCTGGTCATATAAAAGAATACTTAACAAAATGAACTCCAGGAAATGGAAAGAAAAAAATGTGTCAAGACTCATTTCCCTCCTATTCCTGTTGCTAGACATTTGAGCTGTTTCTTGTTATATTTTTGCTTTGCTATTACAAAAGTGTTCGTTTTTCTTGTATACCTTTTCTGTTGTCTACATACAACCATTTCTCTGTGGATATACTCAAGGACACTAACAGGCACTTTTCTATTCTAACTAAACAAGAGAGAGGCTCCTGGGGGGGGGATTCTAAAAATAATTTTCCTTTCTAAAGGAACCAGGCCAATATGCTAAACTTTTTCCAATGTCAATAGCACCAGCATTCAATAAGAATTTCTGATGCTCCATGTCCTTACCAATAGATGTCATATAAATTTCTAAAACTTTATTTTTTGCCAACCAGCAGGTAGAAAATGGTCCCTCTTGGAATTTTAATTTGCTTTATTTTCTGTCTACTGATGAGATACAAGTATTTCGTATGATTATTAGCCATTTCTATTGCTTTCCCTATGAAAAGTGCCTGTTTACATTTTTGCCTTATTTTCCTTTGGGTTGTCTGATATTCTTTTTTCCTACTGACTGGTAGGAGTTACATCTATATTCTGAATGTAGAATTTGTCAGTCATAAGTGTGACAGAGAAGGGCTCTCAGATTGTTTTTAGTTTTTCATACTTCATGGTGCCTGTTTATATCTTTTGTTTGTTTATTAGCCACAGCTCCACTTCTATTTTTTTTTTGAGGGGTTATTTGGAGATAGGAGTGTCACAGGGACTATTCTGCCTGAGCTGGCTTCAAACTTCAATCCTCCAATCACAGCCTGAGTAGCTAGGATTACAGCCATGGGCCACTGGCTCCCAGATGATATATCTTTTCATTGTAATTGTTTTATCAATCCTTTCTTCTGTGGTTTGTATTTTCATACTTGTTTAAGGAACTCTTTGCTATTCTAATATTATAAACTGTAACAGCCAGCATCAAATACTTTCTATGTTCCCTACTCATTATCTCCCTTACTCCTTATCTCTCTGAATGAAAAATGAGAAATTAAGCAATTAAATGATATTCACACAGCAAACAAACAGTGGATTCAAGATTTGAGCCTAGGTACCATCTGTCCTTTAACAACTACCAAAATGCTATTTGAAGAGATTGACTCCTATGGTATTCTAAAAACTGAAAGGATTGCCTTTATCAGTAAAGTCTCTGACCTGGAGTTGATTTTTTTATATTTTCTGAGACACCTGAATTAAGCTGCACTTCAGGCTCTTGCACACTTATCATTCATGATCACTTGACACTGTGTGACACTGATGTGGATTGATCCTTGCTAACATTTTTTAAAGTCCCTTTAATGTTCCAAATGGATGATTCTAAGCAAAACCCTACTAGGCAAAACCCTACTCTCCAAATTTGTGGTGAAGTCTTGCTTCAAATGGTATGGCATCAGAATGAGATTCTTGGAATTAACCTGCAGAACTGGGAACAGGAAGTTGATCATACATTCTCAATATCTTGCCAAGGAACTCAATAGCTTCAGAAGTAGCGCCCAAGAGGCGAAGGCCACAGAAAGCACAGAACAATCTCCATGGCTCCACCTACACTTCTGAGACCAAAATAGTTCACACAGGCATTCCTGCCGCCTCCTAGTGAACGGAGTGGGAAGGGACTTCGGTCACGAATTCTTCATTCTAGCCACCCCCACACACTAGGACAGCAGCAGCAAGGGTAGCAGCATCTTGGAATCTGCTGCCAACAACACAACGTAGGCCTACACATGACATCTTTTCTGTACCCAAGCACCGTCTTCCTCCACTATGAGAGGTTTAAAATCAACATAAAGAAGCTGGGAGACAAAGTAAGTGGAGCAGAGTATGGGGATGGGATACGCTAGGTTTAAAACACGAATTTTATAGGGTCAGAGGGGAGGATTTAAGGCATTTGAAAAAGAACAGTAACGTGATGTTGCTTGTTAGAGACTATGACTACTCACAATCTGGCTGATAGAAATACTAAAGAGGAATGGTGCCAGGCTATGCGGGCTCCCACTGCCACTCTCACACTCCATCCTTGTTTTTTCTGCTGGTAGAGTTCACTTCCCACTCTCCAAGCTGAAAATGCTCAAGAATCATTTTCCCAGCCTCCCTTGCAGGGCACATGACCCAGTCTCAGCCAATGAGATGGGGGAGAGTCCTGGGGGAATTCTGAAAACAGTTTTCTTCCTAAAGGAATCAGGCCAAAAATGTCAGGCACCACAGAGCAGAAAAATGTAAGTGACATTACACTAGAACGACATAGAGAAACATTCCCTCTGAGACAACAGAGCTTGTTATTTAAGGAACTTGATTCTGTAACTTGTACTCTAAAAGAATTTCAGGAGAAAGAAGCATTTAATAAGGTCAGCACAAATTAATGTAATGTTTTAAGAAATAGAGCAACTCTTCAGCTTTTGTTCATCATCGTGGTTACTGTGCCTTCCAGATCGTCTCATCATGTCTGCTCACAAGACTTTCAGAATCAAGAGGTTTCTGGTCAAGAAACAAAAGCAAAATCGCCCCATTCCCCAGTGGATTCGGATGAAAACTGGTAACAAAATCAGGTACAACTCCAAGAGAAGACGCTGGAGGAGAACCAAGCTGGGTCTGTAAGGAATTGCTTCAGATGCCCACATATTTATGCTCTACCATGAACCAGTCAAGCTGAAAAGTCAATACTGCCTGGACTGACAGTTGGGCATTTTTTTAATTGATTTTTCTTTGGTTATTTTAATAATGGGCACAGTAATAAACATGTAATAAACATTACATTTGAAAAAAAAAGAAATAGAGCAATGGATACCTGTTTTCTTCAGCTATTTATTGGAAATAAATAAGCCTCTTAAAAATGGGAATCGTTTGCCTGGTGCTGGTGGCTCACACCTACCTACTTTGAAGGTTGACTTCAGAGGATCAAGGTTTGAAGGAAACTTTGGCAGGAAAATCTGTGAATCTTATCTCTAATTAACCAGCAAAAAGCCATAAGTGGAGCTAAGTGGAGCTATGGCTTAAGTGGTAGAATGCCATTCTTCAGGGGAAAATGCTAAGGGAAAGCAGCAAGGCCCGGAGTTCAAGCCCCAGTCCCAGTACCCCCCAAAAAGTGTGGGGGGGGGATAGTTAACTACCATTATTAACTGCTCATGGAACATTTTAGTTGCTCAATAAACTACAGTTTCTGAGATAACTTGTTTGGTTTCTCTTCTCTCCCTTGCCCGCATTTCCCTCAAAAAGCGATCACAGTCTCCTCCCTGTACCCTGCTAGGCAGCACCTGTCTTTTCTTGAAGTCTCTTCAGGAAGTCATGGAGGTTAGGGCTTATTGTTTAGGAAGAATCTCAGTACTGTGTAGACAGCAACAGCCATAGCATCAGAATTCTCAAAGTGAGAGATAATCTCACAGACCATATATGATGACACAGAATTGGAAAACAGGCAAAACCAGAATATCTGGTTAGAGTCCTTATGATTCATAACACGTGTCTCCCATCCGAATACTTTATATACAGTAGCTGTCATCTTTTCAGTGATTTCTTGGGGTTTTATTGAAGGAAACCCCATCCTGTCACCAAATATATTTTGGGGAGAGGGGAGGAATCCTCCGCTACCACAGGGTGGTAGCTGGGGGAAATTCTTTCTTATATTCCATGAATAGTTCCTGAGAATCCAAGTGCTGGCACTGAGATATAACTGCTGGGATCTTTACTCCCTTGTCGCTCACAATATTTTTGGCTAACTCATGACTTCGCCATACGCAAAAATAAAATAAGTCTACATCTATTAAGATCTCAAAACGGGTGATAGAGATGTGGAATTGTCAGGAAGAGATGCGTGCTGGTGGTGGCTTTGGGTCACCTCGTTGCTCGGATCTCCCATTCACTGGGCTCCCTAAGAGATCAGGAAAGGTTGGGCGATTATCTGATTCTCCTACAGACAGGTGGGGACAGCGGGCTTTGGAGGGCGCAGGGATTGGCCCGGGCGGTGTGGCCCGCGGACACGCGAGGGCAGGGCCGGGGCAGCGCGGGGCAGGGCCGGGCGCGCGGGGGCGGGAGCCAGGTGGCCGCGGCGCGCAGGGCTGGGCGCGCACCCGCAGGAAGTGGCTGCGGCGCGGCGGCCGGGCGGGGAGGCGGCCGCAGCCCGAAGCGAGCGCGTGGAGCAAGACCTAATGGCGGCGCCGGTGCCCAGGGGCCCCGGGGACGACGCCTCGGCCGTCCTGGACGAGCTGTCCCGGAACTTCTCGTACTGGGTACCGGGCGCGGGCAATGGCTCGCTGTCGGGCGCGTGGTACCGCAGGAACCAGGTAAGGGCTGCTGTTCCTTGCGGGCCCCACCGCCCGGGGGGCCAGGCGGGGGCCTCCGCAGCCCTGGGCCGCACGCCCGGCCGCTCGCTGACGTTGCCACACTTGGTCCTGACCCGTTCCCCCACATGGAATAGTAGGGGTTCCCCCCCCAGCTTCCCCTGGGCCTCGGGGAAGGGCACCCCGAAGCCTCGGCGCCAGTCCCCCCTCCCTGCCTCCCCACGCCCGAGCCCGCCCTCTTCTCCCGGGAGGATTCCAGGGGTGTCGGGAGAATCTCCACTGCGTGTCGCCCCAGAATCCTTTCACCGTTTTTTTGTTTGGTTTTAAAGAAAGAAAGAAAAAAATAAACCAAAGCGCCCCGGTTCCCAGAAGCTGGAAACTCATTAAGAACAGCCGAAGGTCCGCCGGGTGCGGAGGCTCGGCGTGTGCGTCCCCGGCGTCTCCGCCCAGCGCGCGCGTTTCCGCGCCAGGACGCTGAGGTTCTCAGGTTGCAGCTGCCTGGCGCTGGCAGCGCGCGTCCGGGCCCGCTGGGGAACAAGGTCCGCCTCCGCAGAGCCGTGTGCGCGGGGGTGTACGTTTGAGGGGATCCAGGGGGCTTGGAGCTGTCCCTTTGGTTTTGGCTAGGCTTAACAGTCTTTAATCTGGACAGTTCTGTCTCTAGCGACATTTATATTCTTGCCAGTGCGGACAAACGAGCTTCACGCAGTGGATTTGGTCTTAACTCCTGTTTTTATAAGTGTTACTTTGTTCTTGCTCTTGAACAAACCCATGGCTCTTCTTTATTTTACATGAATATCATCATGACATATTTGTTGCTGTTGGTCTAAGTAGGAAATTTTAACCAGTAATCAAAGGACTCGATTCCTTTTATGCTTGAAGTGTCTTGACTCTTGGTTTCTGAACTCAGATGGCAATTTATTTGTAGAAGGAATAAATAAGCGTGTCCCCCTTATTAGTTTCAAACAAAGGGGGAGATTATTGCTCTGTTTTAGCCTACAATTTTTTGAAAAGCAGAGGAGGTAGGAACCTATCCCATTTCTCTTTCCACCCACAGGAATGTCTTCTAGCACATATGTTACGCTATACTAGACATATTCCCAATATAAGTTTAAGAATGAATTATTCTCTCAGTAAAAATATTAGAGAATTAGTAGATGTGGCCTACCATGGCATCATTCAAAATAGAGGTAAACACTGTTTTCACAATGAAAACCTCTGCAGGCATTCGTTTTCTTCCATGTTTCCTGGAATTGTTCATTGTCTTGGCTTTCCCAAACATAAGATGATCGTGTGACATAAATTCGAGGCAAATAATGCTGGCAAAACATAACTTGCTTTGACTGAGCAACTCTGTGCAGGTTAGGAAGGGTGTATCCAAAATAAGCTAATTGGATTTTCTGCTGGCACAGAGCTATTGCTATAATTGTGCAAATTTAAGCTATCTTATGGGACTGAGGTATTTTATCCTTCCACTTCATTCTTCAAAGGTTAATTTCTTTTGTTTCAAACAAAGCCAAGACGATTTTTTTTAATATTATACAGGTGATGTACAGAGGGGTTGCAGTTTCAGAGGTCAGGTAATGAGTACGGTTCTTTTTCAACAATGTCACCCCTTCCTTTGCTCTCTCCCAGTTTTTCCCTCCTGTCCTCATCTATAAGTTGTATAGTTCATTTTCAACATCATGTCTAGTGAATATCACTGCTGCATTTGTTCACTCTTTGTCCCTCCATTTCTGTACTTCCCTAACGCTTCCCCCCAAAGACAGATAAATGAACAACCAAGACAAAAAGAAAAACAAAACCTTTTGCTTCCATTTCCTGGAATTCATTGAGATAAATATCATTTTATCTGAGACACATAGGCATTGTACCTTTGTGTTCCTCCCCCAAAACTTGATTTTAAAATCCATTCAACAAACATTGCTAGTGCCCTAGCATTTGGAATCCAACTTTTCTAACACTAAATGAATAGAGATTGCCTGACAAGAGATGACAAAAGAAAAAGAGAAAGAGAGAGAAAAGAAAAGAAAGTGTACTCAGTACTAAGTTTGGACTCCTACAATCATAAAAATTGCCTTGGTTGCCGATAGGGTTTAATGGTACTTGTTTATTTACATCAGTTTTATCACATCTGAAATATTTGCACAGTGCGTTAATAGCTCAACTCTGTGTGCCTTTTGGAGTGATTACAATCAGATGTGAGCAGTTAACCTCACTCTATCAATGAAGACTGTCTCTCTTGAAATGTTTTCATGTGATGGGTATATACTTAACAATCCAAGGCCACTTTGAAGCTATGTTGTCTAAGGCAGAAATGTGAGCGCTCCCAGAGGAGAAAATCTCCCACCAGAGGAGGAAGTCTAAAAGCAAGTAGAAAGAAACTCACTCAGTGGGAAGAAATCTTGGAGAGCTGCTGCCCTTTTATACTGGGGAACCTTACCCTACTTGGTAAGAGCTCTGGTATACAATTTTAGATGTGGCCCATAAAGTTTTGCAAGGCTATTTTCTTTGTTAGATCCCCAAGTATTCAGTACAAAAGGATAATGTTCCCATGATATTTATTGAACGTACCACTATATACAAAGCACTGTAGGGGTTTTTAATATAGTCCAAGACCCAAACTTGGCCTTCCAGGAATGTTATTAGGTACCTAAGAAGATATAAGCAACCCCAAATCAAGGAGTATGTGGTGACATGTGAATGATATAATGTTCTGGGGAAATTCAGAGCAACGTGGCTTTCAGCCAGGGCCATTGGAGATGTGTTCATGGAGAGTAGTGTTTGAGCTGAACATTTGAAGATGCGAAGGTCTGGCTTCATGTTAGGGATACCAAGGTAGAAATCATTCCAGAAAAGGGAGTAGCCTGGGACCAAGAAGCAGCCCTCCTGACCTCAGCAAATGTCTTCCCAAACATTTCAATACCATAATCCAAGTAAGTAGTGGTATGGCTCTCCTGGAAAATGGAGACCAATTGTTTGATAGAAATAGGACTTGGGCCATGGTTGTGGTTCTAGAGTTGCCTTCAAGGACTGGTGAGAAAGTTTGTTGTAGACACTTGGAAACCATTGAAGGTTGTTTTTGTTTGTTTGGAGTTTTTTGGATCAGAGAGCACAAGAATCAAAACAAATGAGAGAAGTTGAAATGAGAATTAGTAGGAAATATTCTGAGAAGGTCTTTATTGATGCTTCTTTAAATAAATTTAAAGATGTGTTTGGCTAAATAATTAAATTCACAAGGATGTTATTAAAAAGGGTCATTCTTCTTCATAAGGTGAAGACCTAGTTTTTTTTTTGTTGCTGTTAACCTGTATTTTTAAAGTCAGCATATTTAAAAGAGAATTGATACATATTGGCAGACAAAGTGAAGAGACTGACAATTGTTTTACATTTACTTTATGATACTTATAGCTGTTGTCTCATTTGAACATTTCAACTACTTTGTTGTAAGGTACACATTACCCTTACTGTTCATATAAGGATATTTGTGTTGAATAACTTGCCCCAAGATCTTATATAGTAAGTAGATTTTAACGGCAAAGCTATTTTTATCCTGTGCCTGAAGGCCATTGCTAGAGACTGAGGCTTAAAAAGGATTTGGTGGCTAGAGTTCATACAAAGGGAGAAATGAATATAGTTTGTCTTGCTGTGCTTAAGAAAAGTCACAGTGAGTTTTTAATTTCCCTTTTATTGATTTTGATTCATTATCATCTCTCTCTTTTTTGGCAATAGACTCATAGGACTCTCCTAAAGAAAAAAGTGTCAAACCTTCCAAATAATAAAAGAGTTAGGTAGACGTTGCTGGTTATTTCTACCTCCTTCCTAAGAAAAGTAATTTATTTTGTTTTGTGTATGCTTGTTGGGTTTTTCAAAAAATTTATTGTCATTTTATAAAGGTGATATACAAAGGGGCTACAGTTACATAGGTCAGGTAGTGAGTACATTTCTTTATGGACAATATCACTCATTCCCTCACTCCCAGTTTTTTCCCTCCTGTCCCCACCCACAAATTGTATAGTTCATTTTCCACTTAGTGTCTAGTGAGTACCACTGCTACATTTGTTCACACTTTGTCCCTCAATTTCTGTGCCCCTTACCCTCCCAAAGACTGATAAACATTTTCATTTCCTGAAGTTCATTTTGATAAATACCCTTTTATATGATCAGATGCATCTAGGCATGCACCTTTATGTTCCTCTCCTAAAAGTATCCTCCTTTAGTCTCACTGTGTGCTGTGTTTGTGGGTTTCATTTCTTTTCATTTTCTTGTCTTCCTCACCTTGTCATTGGCCTGGGTCATGATTACTCACAGTGCAGTGTTCTGTCCTCATTGGCACAAGCCAGGAAGTACAGACAATCCCTACTATAAATGTAGGCACATATATGTTTATTCACTCAGCAACTCACTGAGGGTTCCATTTAGTTGTGTGATTCCTTCAAAGATCACCCTGACCTCAGTAGATCATACCTCAGCACTAGTTCATAATTCTCAAGACCTTACCTCTTTACAATTATCAATTTTTTTCCTTCATAAAAGAACGTTGAAGCTTGACTCAAGTTCTTTAGCTTTCAAGAGTAGTCTGTCTCTCTTCTGGCTTTTGAACTAACCTTCCCTATCAAAAAGAATGCTTTGATAATTGAGAGGATTTTGCATAATGGTTATTTTTCATTTGGATGAAGTAAGAAGCTAAAAGAAATCTGGATTTAGGCAAGTCTTGATTCGGGGGCTGTAATGATAGGTATTTGGTATTGTATTTTCAATGTTTGTTCCTCAGGTCTCACCTTTAGCAGGCTCCTCTTTCTGACTACATACTTAGCTTCAAGAGGGAAGAGCTTGATTTTTTTTTCAACCTGCTAATGAGTAAACAGGTGCTCTAGTCTGACTGGTTAAGGTTCAGTCCAAGACCTGATTGACTAGGCTTTGGAAGATCTGAATTTCTTCTGAAATAGGGGGTCTTATAACCAAAAGAAGGGGATGCTGTGTGATACAAACAGCAGTTCCTACTA